CCCCCGCCGAAGGTCCTCCCCGCATCGAGAATACAAACGTACACTCTATTTTCACCAGCCGGGAGCGGAGAGTGGAGGGGAGGGGTTGGGGAGAAGCGGATGAACGGCGGAGCACTGCGCTGGCGCTGTGCTGGCGCTGGGGCTGTTCCGCGAGGGTTTCGATTTAGGGCTGGTCCCACTGACCATCTTATTCGCTTCAAATTGGCTGATTTCGACAGCAACCAGTACAGTGCAGAGTTGTAGTAGCCTATAGTCGTCTAGCTGCTCGCGTCGCGTCGCTGGGATGCCGCATCCACTCATTACGAGTCGTAGCCTGAAACGTCAGTCTCCAGGCTGGCTTTTGTGGCTCTCGTTTCAAACGTCAGTCTCCAGTTCACCATGAACCTCCACCCTATGATCCGATCTCAGCCAGATTTTATCAGCGTCGCCGTTTCTGCCAGAAAATGTTCTCTCAAAAAGGTTCTATCGCCAGTTCGCGGTCTTCCTTTTCAGACGCATTTACACCCTTTCAGGAAGTTTTAATTGAAGAAGCCGTTGACGGAGAGCTCCAGCTTGTGCCTCATTTTGTTTGAAACTACTACCTGAGGTTGCAACTATTGCCTCAACCTTTGAAGGTCTCTCCGGCGAACTCAATCCAGCTGCCTCAGTTTCTGGTATATCCATCAGCCAGTTCCTAGGAGTATTTGACTCTGAATTAGTGATAACAAACTGCGAGAGCGTTGCAGAAATAATCCTTAATCACTTGGCGAACCCAGCTATTGTCCATCGGCCAAGGGAGCGGGAGCTATAAGGCCTGGAACACATCCTTTGGTTGCCTTTCTGGCCTCCAATAGAAGCAATGAGGCCTGTGTTAAGGCTGGGATTGAAAGAGCAGGTTCCTGGTGGTGCTAAGGAGAAGAAGAAGCGCGTCAGTGGCGCATTTTGGAAGCCGGAGGTACAGTCAACATTCTTCTGTTGTGATTTCATTAGTTATTAATCAATATTTTCTTTCCCAATAAAATATGTGGGGAATATGTGTTTGAGTCGCCGTTTTCCTCCATGTTGGTGCGTGCAGGAAGACGAGATATTGTTGGCGCACGTGGCAAGGCATGGCACAAACAAATGGACACTGATAAAATCCACGGGTCTTCTACCCACGCGAAACCACAAGGCGTGCTGTAACCGCTTTATTGTGCTCAAAGGGTACGATTATTCATGTAAGCCTGGCAGGCTTTGCATTCTGCTCACAATGTGCTCCATGATGCTAAATACCATCCCCAATCACATCATCTGATTGATTGCCCTAAACTTGCGTGCATCATCATTCGCAGCAGCTTTTCATCGCTACCTGACATGCCTGACTTTCTAACTTGACATGTCTTCATTTCTGATTTCCATACCATCATTTGGAGACGCTATTATTGCCAGATTTACCTTCCAGGAAGAAGATGCACTTACATCGGCACAAAATGTACCACTCGTTACTGCCTCATTTCTCTTCTGTCACATTCCCTTGTTCCCCTTGCCATGTCGTGCAGGAAACTCTCCGCTCAGAGCGAGGAAAAGGCACACAGAAACTCTTCTCGTTTAGGTTCGTCTCGAAGACTGAACCGGGGAACGCCTCACAAGGACAGTGACTGGAACGCGATGATGACGATGATGATGACTGAAAAGCTGAGAACCACCAAGTGCTTGATGAAGCCATCGGCTGTGGCGAATTGTTCAGGAAACACATCCGATTCCTCTTTCGCAGGCACCTTTGAGGAGCTTTCAGGAATTGTTGCTCCCGGTTCAGCTCTTGGCAACCCATCGTGCCAGCAGCAGAACTCATCATATCAGCATCAGTATGCTGCGGCATTGGACACGGCCGAGACGGAGAGAACAATAACGCCGACGGATCCCCGGATTGGAGCAACGTCAACAGTGGCACTTCAAGTCAGTGTGGAGGGTGAAGCAGCAGCAGCAGCAACAGCGGAAGCAACAGCAGCAGCAGAAGCGACAGCATTAGAAGCCGCAGCATCAGAAGCAGCAGGAGCAGCAGCGGCGGCGGAGGCGGCGGCGGTGGCGTTGGTTGAAAGTGCAAGCCCAGAAGCCATGACCTCAGGCCCCACTCACTCTCAGACCCCATCATTCTCCTGTGGGCGTGAACTCCATACGTTGGTACTGCAGCAACAACGCTCCTCGGCACCACACCGTTCAGCCTCACAGCAGCAGCTCCTCCCATCATCACAGCAACTCCCCCCAGCCGCACAGCAACTCCCCCCAGCCTCACAGCATCTCCCCCCAGCCACACAGCAACTCCCCCCAGCCTCACAGCACATCCCCCCAGCCTCACAGCACATCCCCCCAGCCTCACAGCACATCCCCCCAGCCTCACAGCATCCCCCTCCGGCATCATTCTCCCACCCAGGCCACCCTGCGTTGTCAGATCCTTCAGCATCGCCCCACGTTCCAACCGCTGCAACATTTCCTCACCCTCCACCCCCAAGTCTCCCCTACCCTCTCCTTCCTCCACTCCCTCTTCCCCAGAGTGACCTCGACACTGGAACATTCTCTCTGCTGGATTCGCCTATGCAAGAGCTGAAGGACATTGAAGCCTTTCTTCTGGCCAAATGGCCTCACCAAAACGCTTTGCAAGCTGAATTGGATGAAATGCCGATTGACTGTATAACTTCTGTTGACGAGACGCCCAGAGTGGTGTGTACAAGTGCATGTCCTATTGGCCCTGGTCCCAGTCTACCAGTTGGTGTGTTAGCAGCTGATGCGGATTTTTCTGCCTTCGCCGACTCAATCTCTGGTGACGCTGGAGCAAGTTTAGATGGTGGTGCTGTTACACGCCTCAAGGCTGTCTCTCCTGGTGTGGCTGATCCGTGCTGCTATATAGACATGTATTTTCCAAGCGTTGTTTCTGATTTGTCCACTGCCGCTGCTTCTGATGCGGATGTTGCCGCCGCTGCTGCTGCTGCTGCTGGTGCTGCTGATGCGGTTGCTGCAGTTGCTGGTGCTGATGCAGCCAATGCAATCGCTGCAGAAGATGCAGCCGCTGCACTGGCTGCTGATCACGCCATCACATCGTTCCTCATCGAGGCTGAGCTGAGGAGAATCAACGACGCCCTCCTGCTCTCAACTTTCACACCCAAATCTTCTCCTGAATCTTTGCTTGCAATGTGAAAATGCATGTGACTCGCTGCAAAACTGAATTTCGTTACTGCGTTTATTAGGATTTAAAAATAAAATTTGTACATGCGCTTATAATATGTCATGGTTTTACAGGGGGTGCGCTTATAATTGAGGATCGGCCATAAGCGCATTGCTCCAGATACAAGCGCATGCGCTTATAATAGGCCTGCGCTTATATCCGGGGCCATACGGTACGGTGTCTTCAGCTTTTCTCTTACCTGAGTTACGCGAAAGCATTGCACAACATAGAAACAAACAATTATTTCAATGGAGATACGAATGTTCACCACCACGGATATACCGTGACGAGATCAGTCCTTATGGGAATCAAGGCATTCCCTTTCCTCCACTTCGTCAGATCACTATTTTGCATTATCTGCAACATACGTTTGCCTACAGAACATGCACATCGGTGTAAGGCGTGTCTTACGCGTGTTACAGGCATGCTTGCCAAGTGCAGTTTCCTTGCCGATGGCAGGTAAGTGCGCGCTTTGCGTGAGTACAGATCGTCTTCCAAAAGCCCTGCACACCGAGTTATCCCCATAGCCTCATCCACTATTATGCCCTAGGGAATTACGGCGCGTGCCACGTGTGGGCAATGTGGTAAGCATTTGGGAATCACTCGTGTGCCTCGTTCGCAGGGAGGCGGATGAATTTCTTTGCTGCCCGAATGCCCGAAGAAATAACAAGCCTTGGGACTTCCACCAGAAGAAACAGCCTGCACCAATCGAAGCCCCGGATTCTCGCGGTGTCAGACCCACCAGGAGAAGTGTACGCCTCAGTCGCCGCCGCCCGTGTAGATTTTCCCCTTTTTTTCTTTTGGTCTGGAGCACTGACCGACGCTTCTCACATTTCCTCCAATAGTGTACAGTACTTCGTTTCTACGAGTAGCAGAAAAGGTGTCCCAAGGTGAGCTCAGCAGCTGTATAGGGGGGTATGATCGGCCGTCAGCAAGCTTACTACGAGGTGAAGAGGTAGTAATACCGACTCGCTCAAGCAATCAGGGTCAAGTAAAGTAGCAACCCTATAGGACCAGCAGGGGAGAGCAGCAGAAAAAGGAGGGGAAGAAAATAAGATCGGAATGCCCGAAAAGCTGCTGCGCTGCCGCGGTAACCATTGTCGCGAGGTGGAACTGGGATATTACCGCCTCCCTCTCTCCCGAACTCGTACTCGATACACCCGCGATTGCCTCCGATCTAGGTATACTCGCAGCACAGTGCACAGCCGCAAACCCAGCGAACCGCTTCCCTCCCGCGCAATTTCGTTCTAGGTACATCGCGATCGCCTCCGATCTAGGTATACTCGCACAGTGCACAGCCGCAAATCTGGCCTGGATGGCGAACCGCCTTCCCTTGCCAGGGTGCGGACTTCTGGTCCGTGCCTGTTCGTCTGCTTCGGAGAGCACATCTACCTGGTTCGGCCGACGCAGAAGGCTCGGTAGTAAATGCATCTGGCTTCAAACACTGGTCACGCGGCACATCGCGGCTCGGGAATGCGGCCTCCCTGTGGTACCAGTGTTTCCGCTTCCGTGGTTAGGAGTTCTACCGTAGGACGTCACACCGGCTTTGTCTGGCGATGTCGCCGCGTCGCAGCCGAACCTCGCGGCGATGGTGCTGCTGTCATGGCACCCCAAGAATCGCAATCATCCCTCCGAGCATAAATGGAAGCCGCTCAATCGGATAGAATCAACCTTCTCTCTTCACCAGCAGCAGCAAGCCAGCCTGGTTTCCAGAGCCAGTCTCCAGTTTCCGCCTGCACAGCACTGAGCCGCAACGCGATCGCCTCGAAATCATAGGCTGCTTCCGTTTTTTTCTGCTTTCTGGGGAATCCTCCTCGTCACCATGGCTCCTTCCGTGATCCACGGCAATGGCTGCCGGCGGTTCCACTCTGGCAGTGGCAGCGCTTCCTTCAGCAGCAAGGCGACTCGTTTTGGATCGAGGAGCGTGATCAGTGCTGCGTCTGTCCTGCTGGTGACGCTGCTTATGGCGTCGAGTTTGCCGATAAGAGTGCTCGCCGCGAATAAGCTGCTTCCTTGCACGTATTCCAACATCAAGGGGTACACCTCGTCCGTGCGTCCTTTCAAGGGGTGAGTTTCTGCTGCTTGTAGCGGATGCAGATTATATCGAATCTGCGGCCAAGGGTGTTTGGCAGAGATATGTTGTGTTCCTGCACGCACTCCAATTTCAATTGTGGAACTCTTGAAACAAATTGAGCTGTAATCAGCTCTTCAGCCTTACACCCGCATTCACTCACCACTTCCCCCCTCAAAACATGCCTTCCCTTCCCTCATCGTACTCCCCCCCCCTCCCCCCTCCCCTTCCCCCCCCCCCCCCCCCCCCCCCCGCTTTTCCGCCCCTCTTCCGCCCTCTCTCTCCCCCCCTCCCCCCCTTTTTCCGCCCCCCTTCCGCCCCACGCCCCACGCCAGGCTGCGGCTGAACTGGAAGGTGGTGGGAAGCATAGTCAAGTTTGACCTGCGCGCGACAGGCCCCGCCAGCAAGGGCTGGTTCAGCGTTGGCTTTTCCACTGATGGGGAGATGACCGGCGACGCCATCACCGTCACTTCCAGCACTGCAACGTCAGCAACGATCCACATGCTCACGGGCGAGAGCGGGTCCAGCGTGGCGGAGAGCACCGATTGGACGCCGGCGAATCTGGCGATCAAGAGGAAGGGCGGTGGCGCTTCTCTCAAGTGAGTTGATCGCTCTGTGCGACCCTCTGTGCCTCTGTGCGACCCTCTGTGCCCCTGTGCGACCCTCTGTGCCCCTGTGCGGACCCTCTGTGCCCCTGTGCGACCCTCTGTGCACCTGTGCGACCCTATGTGCCCCTGTGCGTCCCTTGTGCCCCTGTGCGACCCTCTGTTCCCCTGAGCGATCCTCTGTTCCCTTGTGCGACCCTCTGTTCCCCTCTGCGACCCTTTGTTCCCCTGTGTGACCCACTGTGCACCTGATGAGAAGCAATGTGGCCCTGTGTAGCACAATGCGCCCCTGAAATTTCCATCTTTGCTTGTCACGACGTCACTCTTATACAGTGTGATGCAGTGAGAATGCAGTGCGGTACAGTGTGGTGCAATTTGGCTTTTGGTTTGACTACAGAAGTCACCTCTGCCATTGGCCCTCTTGCTCTTGTCATCATTCCTGCTTTGCTGGCAGGTTTGAGCGGTCTGCAAGTGATGGCAGTCCCGTGCCTTTCAACCCCAAGGGCAAGAACATTCTCATGTTTGCTTACAAGAGCACGGCTTTTGACACTAACGACATACATGATGAGGAGTAAGTCATTGTTTTGAGAGTCAGGCTCAATACTCGCTTGAAGAACATTCTCATGTTTGCATAAAAGGACTCGGCATTTGACACCAGCAGCATGCATGATGAGGAGTAAGTCATCGTTGAGAGTCAGGTTCAATACTCGCTTGAAGAGCATTCTCATGTTTGCTTACAAGAGCACGGCTTTTGACACTAACGAGCAGCATGATGACGAGTGAGTCCCTCTCTCTGCCTCCACTTGCTCTCTCTATTTCCATCTCTTTCACGCACCATGTTTCCTTCGTATGCTGAACCCCAGAAACCCCACTCCAATGCGCAACCCATCCTCCTCACCCCCTTATTTCGCACACTCACTTTCCACACCCATCTCTTTCTCCTCCCTAATTCTCTGTGCGCGCAGTGCGCACGTGATTGTTAATATGGCGTGCAACCCTTGCAAGCGCCCCTTTGGTTTCCTGTTGCATTCTGTACCTCAATGCAGTGCGTGCGTGACTGTTAACATCCCCTGCAAGAGCCTATTCGGTTTCCTCTTGAAATGACTCTCAATCGCTTTCTCACCTCACCACGACCCCCCCCCCCCCCCCCCCCCTCCCCCCTCTCCCCCCCCCTGTTGCTTTCTGTACATGCAGTGCGCACGTGACCGTTAACATGGCGTGCAACCCCTGCAAGCGCCCCTTCGGTTTCCTCTTCTGTCATGGTTGAGGGTTCAGGAATCTCGGTCTGTGGCGTCTAGGGTTTAGGGTTCTCGGTCTGTGATGTCTAGATTACCCCCCTGTGATGTATAGAAACGGCCTTTTTCTAGGGTTCTCACTTCATGGCATGGATGTAATGCCTTGATTTTGGACGATTTTGAGTTTCAGTTGTAAATTCAGAATGGTGTGTACAAGTGCAGATGGCCCTTGCCCTGGTCTACCAGCTGGGGTAGTAACAGCTGATGCGGATTTTTCCACCTTCGCCAATTCGATCTCCAGTGTTGCTGAAGCAAGATTACATGGATGGGGCTGCTACATGCCTCAGAACTTTCTCTCCTGGTGTGGCTGATTTGCGCTGCTACATGTTTTTTCCCAGCGATGTTTCTCATTTGACCACTGCCGCTGCTTCTAATGCGGATGTTGCCGCCGCCGCTGCTGCTGCTGCTGCTGCTGGTGCTGTTGACGCGGTTGCTGCAGTTGCTGCTGCTGATGCAGCCGATGCAATCACTGCAAGAGATGCAGCCGCTGCACTGGCTGCTCATCACGCCATCATTTCTTTCCTAATCGAGGCTGAGCTGAGGAGAATGTCAGAATCTAGCACGAGGAATGAATGAACTATGAAACATTTGGGTACAAGTGTCAGAATGTGATGTTTGTGTCAGAATGTGTAGTTTGTTTAGCCTGCAGTGGGGTACTCTATAGTGAGTACGGCCCCTTAGGGTTTCCTATGTGTATCCACCTGCTTGCTAGTTCAACCACTTCTTCTTGCCACAATTTTCTCGACTCCCTTTGGCCTAGGCTACTAAGCCTAGGCCCTACTCCTATTCAACATGGTATTCAGAGCAGGCACCTTCCTGCTGCCTTCCTTAACGGGCCCACCAGTCTGCTTCCGCTGCATGTAGGCGCGCGGCGTATTTTCCTCGCCGTGCGCCCCGGGCGCGCGGCAATTTTCTGCCCGCCGTGTGCTCGGGGCGCACGGCGGTTTTCTGCCCGCCGTGCGCCCCGAGGCGCGCGGCGTCTTCCTGCCCCGCGCGCGGCCTGCCCTCACGCCGCTTGCGCGCCTGCCCCACGTCCGCGCGCAGGCCTGTTCTGCCCCCCCGTACCCTGCCCGTCGCGGCGCCCTGCGAGGCGCCGCTCCTGCTCGTCGCGAAGCCCCTGCGGGACCCGTGCGTCGCCGCTCCTGCTCGTCGCGACGCCCCTGCGGGACCCGCGCGGCGTCGCCCTGCTCGTCGCGACGCCCCTGCGGGACCCGCGCGGCGTCGCCCTGCTCGTCGCGGCGCCCCCTGAACGCCGCCCCTGCTCGTCGCGGCGCCCCCTGGGTGCCGTCCCTGCTCGTCGCGGCGCCCCCCTCCCAGAGCAGCTGCCCCTGGCCCCTGAAGCAGCTGCCCCTGGTGCAGCCGCCCCTGGACCTCCGCAGCCGCCCCTGGCCCCTGAAGCAGCCGCCCCTGGTGCAGCCGCCCCTGGACCTCTGCAGCCGCCCCTGGCCCCTGGAGCAGCCGCCCCTGGTGCAGCCGCCCCTGGACCCCGTGACGCCACCCCTGGACCCCGCGGCGCCGACCCTGCAGCTGCATGCGACGCCGCTCCGGGACCAGGTGCAGCTGCCTCTGTGCTGCCTGTTGCCGCCCGTTGCTGCCCGTGCCTGTACTGCCCGCTGATGCCCGTTGCTGCCCGTGCCTGTGCTGCCCGTTGCCGCCCGTTGCTGCCCGTGCCTGTGCCTGCTCTCCCCCCCCCCCCCTTCTTCGTCTCCCTGCTGCCGTGGAACGGAGGGTATGGGGGTGGCGAGTATGGGGGTGACGGGTGTGTCAGGCCTCTCCTGCTCCTCCTCCTCCTCCGTCTCCCACTGCTGCAGCTACCGCTGAGGGGGGTGGATGTGTGGGAGCCGTCGGAGTGGTACTAGGGGGGTGGTGTTTGAGCGGTGCTAGAGGTTCAACAAGGGGTGTGTGAAAGGGGTGTGGGACAGCTGGGGGAAGTTGAGTAAAGGCAGTCGTCTAGTCGTCCGCAGCGCCTGAAGTCCAGAGAGCCACGACCCCCTGTGGCCGTGTAGTCCGGGGCTCTGCGCCCGGTAGCCACAGTGTGAGCACTCCTGGGAGCACAGCGAGCCAGCTGCGTCTGTCGCCGTGTAGTCCGGGTTTAGCCTGGTAGCGACAGTGCTGCGCACTCCTGTTGCCCGTGTGTCTGCAGCTTCAACCGTCGCCTCCCATCTTCTCACCCCCGCAGTTTCTCCTCCTCCTCACTTGCCCTCTGTGATAGCCTCTAGCTTTGCTTATATTTATGAACTATGAACTGTTGCTTGTTGTGCTGATCATACCCCACTTTGACTATGGGGGTGTGTCAGGATGTGTAGTTTGTTTAGCCTGCAATGGGGTACTCTATAGTGAGTACAACCCCTTAGGGTTTCCTATTTGTATCCACCTACTTGCTAGTTCAACCAGTTCTTCTTGCAACAATTTTCTCGACTCCCTTTGGCCTAGGCTACTAAGCCTAGGCCCTACTCCTTCTATTCAACAGTTTGTCTAGCCTGCAGTGGGGTACTCAATAGTGAGTATAGCCCAAATTAGGGTTTGCTATATGTACTCAACTGCCTGCTAGTGAAAACCCTCTTTCCTGTTTCTCATTTCCTGCCTAGACTTCTGACATGCTATCAGAGCGGTTACGCTCCTGGCCTGTGGGCCCACCGTTAGCTTCCGCTGCTCCCCTGTCTGTCGCGCGCCCCGTGGCGCGCGACGTTTTTTCTTCCCGCCACGCGCTCGGGGCGCATGGCGGTTTTCTGCCCGCCGCGCGCTCGGGGCGCGCGGCGGTTTTCTGCCCGACGTACGCCCCGAGGCGCGCGGCGGTTTACTGGCTCGTGCGTCACCCCGGGGACCCGCATGTTCCCCCCGTCCACCGTCGCGTCGCCCCCGGGGACCCGCGCGTTCCCCCCCGTCGACCGTCGCGTCGCCCCCGAGGACCCGCGCTTTCCCTCCCGTCGACCGTCGCGTCGCCCCCGGGGACCCGCGCTTTCCCCCCCGTCGACCGTCGCGACGCCCTGGGGAGCCGCGCGCGGCCCCCCGCTACCCCGTCGCAGCGCCCTGGGGAGCCGCGCGCTGTCCCCCGAACTGCTGCCCGCGCACCGCCCCTGCTGCTACCCGTGATCCTGCCTGTGTTAGGGTTTGGGGTTGGCGAGTGTGGGGGTGGCGAGTATGGGGGTGACGGGTGTGTGCGCCGTCCCCTGCTCCTCCTCCTCCTCTGTCTCCCACTGCTGCAGCTGCCGCTGAGGGGGGTGGATGTGTTGGAGCCGTCAGAGTGGTACGAGGGGGGTGGCATGTGAGCAGTGCTAGAGGTACAGCAGGGGGTGTGTGAAAGGGGTGTGGGACAGCTGGGGGAGGTTGAGTGGAGGCAGCCGTCTTGTCTGTCGTTCGTAGCGCATGTAGTCCAGAGAGCCAGCTGCGCCTGTCGCCGTGTAGTCCGGGGCTCTGCGCCTGGTAGCGACAGTGCTATGCACTCCTGGTAGCACAGAGAGCCAGCTGCGCCTGTCGCCGTGTAGTCCGGGGCTCTGCGCCTGGTAGCCACAGTGCTGTGCACTCCTGTTGCCCGTGTGTCTGCAGCTTCAGCCGTCGCCTCCCATCTTCTCGCCCCCACAGTTTCTCCTCCTCCTCACTTGCCCTCTGTGATAGCCTCTAGCTTTGCTTATCATTGTGAACTATTGCTCTGCCTGCTTGTTGTGCTGATTGTACCCCACTTTGACTATGGGGGTGTGTCAGAATGTGATGTTTGTCTAGCCTGCAGTGGGGTACTCTATAGCGAGTATAGCCCAAATTAGGGTTTGCTATATGTACTCAACTGCCTGCTAGTGAAAACCCTCTTTCCTGTTTCTCATTTCCTGCCTAGACTTCTGACAACAAGTACTACCGTAACCCTAATTGGGTTGTACCCCATATTGGCTACCCCACTACAGTATACACAACACAATATTCTGGCACACCCCCATAGGCAAAGTGGGGGAGTACAAGCAGTCACAGAAAAATAAAGCAAGCTCAGGGTGGATCATGAAGTCACCACACGGTCCGAGCACAAGCACATGGCCACAAGGCCAGTTCACATGCAGTGCTATATAAAACAAAGCAATCAGTACAGTGATCAAAACCTAGCAGGTGTAAGCACGCAGGTACATATATAGATCACAGTACAAGCAAAGTCACGCAGTGAGCAAGTGAGAAAACGTAGACACCATGCCTAAAGCAGTACAAAAACGCTGTTGATCACCAGACGGAAGTGCCTTGGTGAATATATCAGCTGTGTTGGCCCGGGTGGCCACGTAAGCAAGTTCGAAGCTGACCACGCTGCTGTAACTCTCGAGCAAGGAAGTAGCGCAGAGCGATGTGCTTCGTTCTGTGCTCCAGTCTGTGCTCCTGACACAAGGCGATAGCGGCCTTGTTGTCTACGTATAGAACTGGAGGAGAACTAGGCCGCTCTCCCAAGTCGGTCAGCAGGTAGGTGAGTCAGCGTAACTCATGTGCAGCCATGGCTCCTGCGTAGATCTCAGCCTCACAACTAGAGCTGAGAACAGAAGACGAGCGAGTAGAATGCCAAGAAACAGAGCCAGAGCCAAGGCTGAAGGTGTAACCCTGTGACGACCGCTGCGTAGCCAAGTCGTCAACCCAAGAGACGTCTGAGTGTCCAGTGAGGACAACTCGACCCTGTCCTCCAAGCACAAGCCCCATGCCTGATGTACTGCACAAGTAGCGCAACACCCTCTTAGCAGCCTCCCAGTGCTCTCGCCGGTGTCTCCCGGGCGCAACGTAGCGAGCCAGGATGCTAAGAGGGTACGCGAGGTCAGGTCGAGTGCAGGTCATCAGGTACATGAGGCAGCCCACAAGCTCTGGATACGGGCCACTCGGCTCTACGGACTCGTCCAAAGGTGGAGCTGAGAGCGAGTGACCGGTAGGCAGAAGAGTGGACTGAGGCGAGGAGAACTGGAAGCCGAAGCGCTGAAGGACCTGTTGCACCATGTGTGACTGAGTCAGGGGTGCGCCGTGCTCTATCCCGGGTGATCCGCAAGCCAAGATAGCTGCGCAGCTCACCCAGGTCAGTGCAGGTGTGTCTCTTCTGCAGCTCCGACTTCACAAGGGCCAGTGCCTCAATGTCAGCAGTGGCAAAAACCAAGTCGTCGACGTACACGAGGATGTAGAACGACGGCAGCGAAGTGTTTGTGCACAGAAACAGCGACGGGTCAGCAGTGGAAGGAGCAAACCCGAGAGCCGCAAGTGTCGTCCTCAGTGTGTCGTGCCACTCACGAGGCGCCTGGCGGAGACCGTAGACTAGCCGCCGGAGGCTCCACTGGGTACCTGCAGGAAACGACCCAGTGAAGCCAGGTGGGCGGCGCAGCCAGATCTCCTCGTGCAGGCTGCCCTGTAAGAAAGCTGTGCTGAAGTCAAGAGAGTGAAGCTCGTAGTCACGCTGAGCGACAACGTGCAGCAGCACCCAAAGAGTGGTCATCTTCGGGGTAGGGGAGAAGGTCTGGAAGAAGTCAACTCCCTGTCGCTGACTGAAGCCTCGTGCAACGTAACGAGCCTTGAAGACAGGCGGAGAACCCGGCGGCCGCTTCACCCTAAAAATCCACATGCCATCGACTATGTTCGCCCTAGGAGGGGGAACTGCGTCGACGTAAGTGCTCGTGGACTTCCACGATGCTATCTCTGCGTCCATGGCTGTCTGCCACTCAGAGGAGTAGGGACCCGAAATCGCCTCTGCGTAAGAGCGCGGGGTCGGGATGTCCAGTGCATCTGGGTCTCCCTCAGGTGCAAGCAGCCAGGCCACGAGATGAGGTACAGCAGCCGCAAGACACTCAAAGTCCTCCTGCTTGTCCTCAAGGACGTCCGTGCCAAGAGCACACTCACCTCCGACGGACGGAGGACAGGCAGACTCAGACTCAGCAACAAGACTAGTAGCGTAGTCTAGACGACACGCAGCAGCAAAGTCCACAAGCTCAGCAACTAAGGCAGATGCAGCAGTAGACTCAAACGACGGGTCAGTGACGACTGTGGCCAGGAGACGCGTGACAGTGGGGCTGGCAGCACAAACTAAGTCACATTCAGGTGTCCGGAACGTCAGGACAAGAGGACGCAGGAGGAGACGGCAGAGGGACACACAGTGGAACAGAGCAAGGACGAAGTGCCATAGTGTGAGTACCTGGCATAGGAGGAGGACGCGGACGCGGGACACGACGAGCACGGCGAACAGTGCGAACAGGGGAGGCAGGACGAGACGCAGGCTCACGACGCTCTGTAAGGGAGGCTGGCTGCTCAGTGTAACGAGGGGGGGCAGGCAGCGGTGAGTCCGGAGGAAGGGCAGTGGACGAAGGAAGACTAAGAACCTGACGGAGTACTGACTCAGGGGGTAGCGAGGATAGCTGCGGCGGCGGCAAGAAAAACGGTCGCTGCTGCACAGTGCCCCCAGCACCAGTACCTCCAGCTCCAGGGCCTCCAGCTCCAACACTTCCAGCTCCAGCACCTCCAGCTCCAGAGCCTCCAGCTCCAGCGCCTCCAGCTCCAGCGCCTCCGGCTCCATCGCCTCGAGCTCCAGTGCCTCCAGCGCCAGTGCCTCCAGCGCCAGTGCCTCCAGCTCCAGTGCCTCCAGCGCCAGCGGAAGCAGCTCCTGTAGCGCCACTCCGAACGCGGGTGCGCCGAGCAAACCACTCGCGCAGCTGCTGTGGTGAGAGAGGCTCCCGCCGGCTAGACCGCTGCGGCGAGGCATCCGTAGTGTCTCCAGGAGACGCAGCACCCCTAGGCTTAGCACCCCCAGGCTCCGCACCCCCAGACGCAGCACCTACCCTCAGGCTCGGCACCCCTAGGCTCAGCACCCCCAGACTCAGCACCCTCAGGCTCAGCACCCCCAGGCTCAGCACGCACAGGCTCAGCACCCCCAGGCTCCGCACGCTCAGGCTCAGCACCCCCAGGCGCTGCATGCTCAGGCTCAGCACCCCCAGGCTCCGCACCCGCAGGCTCAGCACCCCGAGCAGCACCACCCCCAGCAGCACCAGAGTCACCAGTGACCTCGACAGGCTCAGCCAAGGGGAGTGGGTCTACCTGAGACACACTTGAAGGAGCAGGACCCTGAGGGGGGAGGGGGTCTACCGGAGGGGGACCTGGAGCGAGGAAGAGCGGCAGGGGGGGGGAGAGGGGCAGTGCGGTAGGGGAAGAGACGGTAGAAGGGAACCGACTCGTCAAACGTGACGTCCTGAGAGGACAGAACACGGGTGGGGTGGTAAAACTGCCAGCCAGGCGCGTTAGGGGGAAAGCCAAGGAAGACACAGGGAATGGCGCGGGAGGAGAGCTTGTCCGCGGAGGTATCGCGGACAAAGGCACGAGAGCCCCAGACCCAGAACAGCGACGCATCGCCAACCTCCCCCGTCCAACACAGTGTAGGCGAGATCTCCGGCAAGGAGACACGGGGCCAAAGGTTGAGCTGATTCGGAGCGTACCGGACCGCAAACGACCGCATGGATCATGGAGGTATGAGCCACCTCCATGACTAAGCCAATGCGGCGCTCAGCAATCCCATTCTGCTGCGGGGAGGCCGGAAGCGTGAACGACTGGAGGATGCCCTCCCCCTGACAAAAGTCCCGCAAGAGGTCGGAGGAGAACTCACCACCTCTGCCAGAGTGCAGAGGCAGGAAATGAAGGTCCGTGTGGAACTGCTCGCGGAGCTGGAGACGGACAGCGCGGATCCAGGGGATTAAGACAACAGGGGCCTCCCCCTTGGTGCGCAAGGGGAAGACCGTGGTGTAACGCGAGTAGTCGTCAACAACCAGCAGAAAGTATCGCTCGCGGCCCTGTCCACTGACGCGGGCTGGGCCCCACACGTCTATGTGGAGCGTCTGCAGGGGAGCAGTCGTCGAGGGAAACGAGGAGGAGTGAGGAGCGGCGCGCTGCCGCCCCTCGACGCAAGGAATGCAGGGCGGGGCAGGCGAGGGAGAGAGGGGAGGTAGAGACCTGGGAAGACCAGAGACAAGGAGGCGGGAGTGCATGCCACGGAGGCGTGGCAAGGAGGGGTGACCAAGGCGGTGGTGCCAAAGAAGAGTCTGGTGCGACAGGAGGCGACACTCACAAGGGGCTGCTACCTGACCTGACGCGGACACCTGACCAGACGCAGCGACCTGAGGAGGCGCAGTAGTCAGTGTGTACAGACTCGACCCAGGCCGACGGGTGAACGTGGCCAGGTGACGGCCCGTCCGGGAGCACGTGCAGATCGCCACACGCTGGCCTCCAGGGGTAAAGGTATCAACCCATGCATCCTGAAGGACTGCGTTACTCACCAAGTTCGTCGAGAACGAGGGGAGGTGGAGACCTGATAGTGAGCCGGACGGAATCGCCGGACACGGGAGAACAGTGGAGGAACGTGCAAGAATAGGTCCCCCTGACGGGTCAGCCAGAGAGACTGCAACAGGTGCAGGGAGGGGTGTGACTGTGGTACTGTCGCGAAAGAAACAGCGGGAAGCACTTGAGTCAAGATTGAAGGTCTGCAAGGCCTAAGCAGGCGCAGTACCGGAGAGAGCAGACTCACTAGCACCTAGAGCAGTAGCCTCTATACCTGGGTCAGGCGGCACACACAGGTAACAGTCACCCTCAGCACTAACAGTGAAGGCATACATGGCACCAAAAATAGCGTCATAGTAAAGAGCAAAGATATCAACACCAGACTTAAGCAGCTCCGCCCAGCAGGGAAGCTCGGCCTTGTCGCCAAACCTCGCGCGCCAAGCGTCGTCTAGGTGGGAGAAGTAGCGGTGCTGTATGTGAAACTTCCCGCATGTCTGACCAGCGCGGTCACCTGTGCGAATGACGTACGGGCAGCGAACACTACCCCCAGACGCCCCACGCTGAGCAAACCACTCACGAAGCTGCTGGGGCGAAGGGGTCTCATGCGGACGCTGCTGCTGCTGCCTCTGAACGGCTCCAGCTCGACCACCACCACTGCCGCCGCCACCACTCCCTCCACCGCCACCACTGCCGCCACGACTCCCACTGCTGCCACGACCACCACCACCACTCCCACCGCTGCCGCCACCGCCGCCACCGACGCCCCCACTCCCGCCACCACTCCCACCGCCACCGCCGCCACCTCCACCGCCTCCACCGCCTCCACCACCACCCCCCCCGCTGCCACCTCCACCACTATTGCCTCCCTTGCCCTTGCCGCTGCGGCGCTTCCCACTAGGAGCAGAAGCAGCACCGACCTCCTCAGCACCAAGGAAGTCAACAGCAGCAGCAGAAGCAACAGAGGGGGCAAGGGGGGAGGGGGAGCACCCCTCAAAGAAGGGCGTGCGAGGAGTGCCACGAGCAGCACCTACAGCGACTATGCTAGTCTCAGCTGCAAGGAGGTGCTCCTCGAGCAGGTCGAGAGTGAGGTCTGTGGGTTCAAGAGCGAGAAAGTGGTCCCTGACAGCGCGAAGAGAGTCAGGGAGGCGAGTGACTATGAAGTAGAGAGTGATGTACATCGGGAGCTGGTTCTTGTCTAGGAACTCGGCTTTAAGCGCAGCGCGGTAGCCAGTGTCGCTAGTGCGAAGGTGGGTGATTAGGTCCGCAACTGTGGCAAAGGAGGACAGCTCGGGAAACAGGTAGGGAAATATGAGTCGGCCTAGAGCAGCAGTGGCAGGGGAGGAGTAACGAGCGACTACAGCGTCGTACATGGCTCTAGCAGTCTTGTGCTTGCCAAAGTGAGTGCGTTCGGCTAACGGCAGGTGGTTGCGAACGGTTAGGCAAGCAGCAGCATCTGGGGTAAGCCACTGTGAGCGAGTCGCATTGTTAGCTGTGGCGGGAGGGGTGAGATAAGCTCCACACGTGTGGCCAAACAACGAAACGTTGTCTCTAGATTCGCTCAGTAAGAACAGCTGTAAGTCATCGAGCCACGTATCGAACTGGATGGGACGGCCCTCATGATCGAACTCAAGAACACTGAGAGTAGCCATAGCTAGCAGAGCAGGGTGGCACGTAAGGCAGGGCAGGACAATGCGCAGGCAGGGCAGAGCGGCGCGCGGGCTGTAAAGGGCGGCGCACGGGCAAGCAAGGGTGGCGTGCGGGCTGCAAAAGGGCGGCGCGCGGGCAGGGCAGGGCGTGCGCGGGGCGGCGCGACGCAGGGCAGGGCGTGCGCGGGTGGTGCGACGCAGGGGAAGGCGGGCGCAGGCAGCGTGATGCGGGGCAAGGCGTGTGCGGGCGGCGCGACGGGCAGGGTAGGGCGTACCCGCGCGGCGCGACGCAGGCAGGGCGTGCACGGGGTGGCGCAACGCATGGTAGGGCACGCGCAAGCGGCACGACGTGGGCAGGGCGTGCGGATGCTAAGAGGGTATGCAAGGTCAGGTCGAGTGCAGGTCATCAGGTACATGAGGCAGCCCACAAGCTCTGGATACGGGCCACTCGGCTCTACGGACTCATCCGAAGGCAGAGCTGAGAGCGAGTGACCGGTAGGCAGAGGAGTGGACTGAGGCGAGGAGTACGTGAAGCCGAAGCGCTGGAGAACCTGCTGCACCATGTGTGACTGAGTCAGGGTGATGGTGCGCCGTGCTCTGTCCCGGGTGATCCGCAAGCCAAGATAGCTTGTCAGCTCACCCAGGTCTGTGCACGTGTGTCTCCTCTGCAGCTCTGACTTCACGTAGGCGAGTCCTGCAGTGTCAGCAGTGGCAAAGACCAAGTCGTCGACGTACACGAGGATGTAGAACGGCGGCAGCGAAGTGTCAGTGCGCAGGAACAGCGACGGGTCAGCTGTAGAAGGCGCGAACCCAAGAGCCGCAAGTGTAGTCCTCAGTGTGTCGTGCCACTCACGCGGAGCCTGGCGGAGACCGTAGACCGGCCGCTGAAGCCTCCACTGGGTACCAGGAGGAAACGACCCAGTGAAGCCAGGTGGGCGGCGCAGCCAGATCTCCTCGTGCAGGCTGCCCTGCAAGAAAGCAGTGCTGAAGTCAAGTGAGTGAAGCTCGTAGTCGCGGTGAGCGGCTATGTGCAGCAGCACCCGAAGAGTAGTCATCTTCGGGGTGGGGGAGAAGGTCTGGAAGAAATCAACTCCCTCTCGCTGACTGAAGCCTCGAGCCACGTAACGCGCCTTGAAGACAGGCGGAGAACCCGGCGGCCGCTTCACCCTGAAAATCCACATGCCACTGACGATGTTCGCCCCAGGAGGGGAAACCTCGTCGACGTAGGTGCGTGTGGACTTCCAGGAGGCCATCTCGGCGTCCATGGCTGTCTGCCACTGAGAGGAGTAGGGACCCGCCATCGCCTCAGCGTAAGTGCGCGGGGTCGGGATGTCTGGTGCATCCGGGTCTCCCTCAGGGGCAACTAGCAAGGACACGAGACGGGGCAAAGCAGCAGCAAGACACTGGAACTCCTCCTGTCTGTCCTCAAGGACGTCCGTGCCAAGAGCACACTCACCCCCGACGGACGGAGGACAGACAGACTCAGACTCAGACTCAGCAACAAGGCTCGCAGCGTAGTCTAGACAACAGGCAGCAGCAAAGTCAACCAACTCAGCGACCAGAGCAGACGCAGTCGAGGACTCAAAGGTAGGGTCAGTGACAACAGTAGCGAGGAGACGCGTGACAGTAGGGTGCTCAGCACGGTACCGGTCAGACTCAGGGTCCGGAACGTGAGGCAAAGAAGACGCAGGAGGAGACGGTAGAGGGACACGCTGAGGAGCAGTAGAGGGACGCAGAGTCATGTAGTGAGTGCCTGGGACAGGAGGAGGACGCTCACGACGGACACGACTACCAGTGCGAGCAGGACGAACAGGCGACGCAGGACGAGACTCAGGCTCACGACGCTCTGTAAGACCTCCTGTGGGACCAGTGTACGGAGAGGGAGCAGGGAGAGGCGAGGTAGGTGGTAACAGTGACTGCGGCTGGACAGGCAGAGGACACTCTACGGAGGGAGGAGGACAAGGAGGAGGAGCCTGCCCAAGAACCTGCTGAAGGAGCGGTACGAAGTACGGTCGCGGTCGCACAGCGTCTCCGGAAGCAGAGGAGACTCCAGCGGCCGGGTCCTCAGTACCAGCAGGAGCTCCAGCGTCCGGGTCCACAGCACCAGTAGTAGCTCCAACGCCCGGGTCCTCAGCAGCAGTAGCAGTGCCACCGCTCGGGTCCTCAGCTCCAGCAGTAGCTCCACCGTCCGAGTCCTCAGCACCAGCAGCAGCTCCACCGTCCGGGTCCTCAGCACCAGCAGCAGCGCCACCGCCCGGGTCCTCAGCTCCAGCAGCAGCTCCAACGTCCGAGTCCTCAGCACCAGCAGCAGCTCCACCAGGCGGGTCCGCAGCACCAGCAGCAGCTCCCACGTCCGGGTCCTCAGCACCAGCAGCAGCGCCACCCCCAGGGTCCGCAGCACCAGGAGCACCACTCCGAAGACTGCAGCGCCGTGTGTACCACTCGCGGATCTGCTGAATGGGGGGGAGCTCCTGGGTAGGAGGGGAAGTACCGGAACGAGCTCCAGCAGCACCTCTCCGGAGGCGGCAGTACTCGAGGTACCTCTCCTGCAGCTGCTGGGAGGAGAGGGCTCCTCCAGGTGTAGCAAGCTCAGGCTCAGCACCCCCAGACTCAGCACCTCCAGGCTCCGCACCTCCTGGCTCAGCACCCCCAGGCTCCGCACCCCCAGACTCAGCACTCCCAGGCTCAGCACCCCCAGACGCAGCACCCCCAGGCTCAGCACCCCCAGACGCAGCACCCCCAGGCTCAGCACCCCTAGACGCAGCACCCCCAGGCTCAGCACCCCTAGCAGGACGAGAGTCAACAGCTACCTCGACAGGCTCACCCGGGTCTACCTGGGACACACCTGAGGGAGCGGCACCCTGAGGGGGGAGGGGGTCTGGTACCTCAGCACCTGGAGCGAGGAAGAGAGGCGGGGGGGGGAGCGGGGCAGTGCGGTAGGGGAAGAGGCGGTAGTAGGGGACGGACTCGTCAAAAGTGACGTCCTGAGAGGCCAGGACACGACGCGAGGTGGGGTGGTAGAACTGCCAGCCAGGGGCGTCCGGGACAAAGCCAAGGAAGACGCAGGGGACAGCACGACGGGAGAGCTTGTCCGCGGACGTGTCGCGGACAAAAGCTCGGGATCCCCAGACCCGAAAACGCGACGCATCGCCAGCCTCTCCCGTCCAACGCAGTGTCGGAGAAGTCTCGGGCAAGGAGACACGGGGCCAGAGGTTGAGCTGATGCGCAGCGTATCGGACTGCAAACGGCCACAGAAAATGGGGGGCAGCCGCATGGCTCAAGGAGGTACGAGCGACCTCCATGACCAGACCAATGCGGCGCTCAGCAACCCCATTCTGCTGTGGAGAGGCCGGAAGCGTGTACGACTGCTCAATGCCCTCCTGCTGACAGAAGGCCTCCAATAGGCCAGAGGAGAACTCCCCACCTCTGTCAGAGTGCAGACGCAGGACAGGGAAGTCGGAGCGAAAACGCTCACTGAGCTGGAGACGAGATCTGCGGATCCAAGGGATCAAGACATCAGGGACGTCACCCTTGGCGCGCAAGGGGAAGACCGTGGTGTAGCGCGAGAAGTCGTCAACAACAATCAGGAAGTACCTCTCCTGACCCTGACCACGGACACGGGCTGGGCCCCACACGTCCATGTGGAGCGTCTGCAAGGGAGCAGTCGTCGGGGGAAAGGAGGAGGAGTGAGGAGCGGCGCGCTGCCGTCCCTCGACACAGGGAATACAGGGAGGAGCAGGCGAGTCGGGAAGGGGAGGGAGCACCCTGGGAAGACCAGCAACAAGGTCCCGTTTGTGCATGGCCCGAAGGCGCTGCACAGACGGGTGACCAAGGCGGTGGTGCCAAAGGACAGTCTCATGCGCCAGAGAGCGACACGAGCAGGGGGCGGACAGCTGACCTGACGCAGACGCAAACGCAGCTACCTGAGGGGACTCAGTGGTCAGTGTGTAAAGGTCCGACCCCGGCTCCCGAGTGAAGGTAGCCAGGTGGCGACCCGTCCGAGCACACGTGCAGTGTGTCACGCGCTCGTAGGCAGGGGTGAACTGGTGAACACCTCCGTCCTGGAGCGCACTACCTGCCACCAAGTTCGTAGAGAACGAGGGGAGGTAGAGACCTGACAGCGTGCCGGACGGGACCGCCGGACAAGGAAGGACAGTGGAGGAGGTCGCAATGACCGGACCCCCAGAGGGGTCAGCAAGGGAGACAGCAACTGGCCGAGCGAGTGGCTCAAGGACAGTGCGGTCACGAAAGAAGGAGCGAGAAGCACCTGAGTCCAGTGTGAAGGTGTGCAGTGCTGCAGTCGACTCAGTACCAGGGGGCACGGACGCACGAGCACCTGGGGCAGCGGCCTCACCAGGACCTGTGGGAGCAGACGCACTAGCACCTAGAGCGGCAGCCGGACTGGCCTGAATGCCCGGGTCGGGCGGAACACGCAAGTACTGAGCACCCTCTCCACTAATAGACATGGCATACATGGCAGTGAGAATAGCATCAAAGTCTAAAGCCCAAATATCAACACCCCTCTTTTCCAGATCAGCCCAGCGCGGCAGCTCAGTGGCAGCAGGAAACTGAGTGCGCCACGCGTCGTTAAGGCGCGCGAAGCACCGCTGCGTGGGGTGCGGCCTCCCACACTGCTGGCCGCTGCGGTCACCTGTGCGAATGACGTACGTGCAGGTAACGCTACGCTGCGCATACCACTCACGGGCGGCCTGAAGTGTCGGGGCGGGCTGCTGACTCTGCCCTCCGCCAGTGCCTCCACGACCACCACCCCCACCGCCGCCGCCCCGGCCACCTCCACCCCTGCCGCCGCCACGACCACCTCCGCCTCCGCTGCCGCCTCCACCACCACTCCCGCCGCTGCTGTCTCCTCCCCCACTGCCGCCACTAGTCTCCCCAGCCGCGCCTCCACTCGCACCGCCTCCACCCCCACCTCCTCCGCCACCACCCCCACCCCTGCCCCCCTTGTTCCTGCGGCGCCCGCTCGAAGCAGACGCGGTCCCGACCTTCTCAGCACCAAGAAGGTCGACAGCAGCAGCAGAGGCGACAGAGGGGAGGAGGGGGGAAGGGGAACACCCCTCAAAGAACGGGGTGCGGGGGTCGCCACGAGAGGTGCCTACAGCGACGATGCTCGCCTCAGCTGCAAGCAGTTCCTTCTCGAGGAGGGCAACAGTGAGCTCAGTGGGGGAGCGAGAGAGGAAGTGGTCCCTGACTGCGCGCAGAGAGTCAGGGAGGCGGGTGACGATGTGGTAGAGAGTGATCCAGAGCGGGGGGGGGTTGCTAGTGAGAAACTCGGCAGGCATAGCAGCGCGAAAGCGGGCCTCACTAGTCTTAAGGTGGGTGATGAGGTCTGCGACAGTGTGAAAGGAGGCTAGGTCGGGGAACAGGTAGGGGAGAGTGAGGCGGCCTAGCGTGGCAGAAGCGGGTGAGGAGTAGCGGGCAACTACAGCGGTGTAGAGGTCCTTAGCAGTCTTGCACTGGCCGAAGTGCTCGCGCTCGTCTAGCGGCAGGGAGTTGCGAATAGCAAAGCGAGCGTGCGCATCACGGGTCTGCCACTGGGAACGCAGAGTGCTGTCAGCAGACGAGTCAGGGGCAGTGGCATGGCCTAGGGCGTGGTCGTACAGTGAGATATCTTCCTTGGCAGTGAGCTGTAGGAACAGGTGCAGGTCATCGAGCCAGGTTTCGAACTTCACTGGACGGCCCTCGGCATCGAAAGCTAGAACTGGCGGACTAGCCATAGTGACAGTAGCAGTAGTAGTAGGAAGCGTGGCAGCTGCAGTGGCAGCAGTGTGCGCGGTAGGTAGAAAATAAACAGCAGTGAGATCGAGTGCCTCGCGGGCAGCGGCTGCAGAGGCGCACGGACAGCAGTGGTGCACAAGCAGCAGCGGAAGCAGCGGCGTACGAGCGGTTGCGGGCAGCGGGGCGTCTGCGAGCGGCAGCGGCTGCTGGCCTGCGGCGCACTAGCGGTAGCGGGCGACTCACGGGCGGCGGCTGCGGGTGCGCACGGGCGGCAGCGGCTTATGCGCACGGGCAGCAGCGCCGACAGCGCACGGGCGGCTGCAGCAGCGAGCGGTGCGCAAGCAGCAGCGGCAGCAGCGCACGGGTGGCAGCGGCGTCGGTGCACGGGCGGCAGCGGCGTCGGCGGACGGGCGGCTGCGGGCAACGGGCGTGCGGCAGCTGCGGCGGCGAGCTGCGGGCCTGCGGGGCCACGGCGGGGTGCGCGCGAGCGGGCGACGGGCGGCTGCAGCAGCGGGCGCGTCAGCGAGGCGCACAGGCAGCGCGCGGGCAGCGTGCGGGGCCGCGCGTAAAGAAAAACAGCCGCGCGCGTGCGGCTAGCGGGGCGCGCGCAGCGAAATCGACCGCGCGCGGGCGGGTAGTGGGATGCGCGCGCTAAAAAAAAAAGAAATCGAGTCGCGCGCGGGCGGCTGGCGGGCTGCGCGCGCGCGGTAGGTAGGAGGCGCACGAGGCGCACAGTAGGTAGGTAGGTATGTAGGTAACGGTGGGCCCTAAGAACGGTCCTAGCGAAGGACCTGCTCTGAAACCATGTCAGTAATAACGGACTGGAATGACTGTACTAGCACAAAGTTGGATACAAGTAGTAAACCCTAATCTAGTGTACCCCCTAAGGTGTAACCCACTACAGCCTACAATCATATAAACATATAATGTTTGACATGTTGTCCTTGGACACACGACGTCTTCGCGAAAAAAACTCGCGACAGTTGCGAAAAGGGTAACCAGCAAAAGTTCAGCCAAAAATCCGAGCGTCTACAGCAAAAGACACGCGCCCTTATCGCAGTCATTCTGCACCGTACATTTGCCTACAGCACACGCAAAGCGGTAAGGCGTGTCCTGCGCGGCTTACAGGCATGCTTGCCCTGTGAAGTTTCCTTGCTGATGGCAGGGAACTGCGTGCTTGCAGATCGTCTTCTTATAGTCCAGCACGCATAGTGCTGGACTGCATAGTGCAGTACACAAATATATAGATACCCTTTTAATGCAATCATTTCAAACATACAACCAGATTATACATTTGACATTTCTACCTAAAATGCGAAACATATGTAAAACATATGTAATATCGTTTTCCGTTTTGCGTCATACAGGGTACGTACGGGATACACTATGCTTGGAACGAGCAGTTACCTGTTTGGAGTTCGGAAGGCACTGTTTATTACCAATCAGGCAAAAATGGTGACCACTTTGGCATGATGGTTACCATGAGGGCGATCACACGATATCTTTGTTACGATTTCGACACGTGGCTTACCTTGGAGGCGATTGGGCCCTAAGTGTGTTACCCCCAAGTGTGTTACCCTTTGCCATAAGCAGCTCGTAAGGAAAGAAAGGCATTGCGGCCTCCACCACCGAAAACGGCCTGCACCAACCGAACCCCCGAAATCTCGCGATGTCAAGCCCACCAGGAGAAGTGGCACGCCTCAGTCGCGGCGCGGCCCGTGTAGATTCCTACTCTTTTTTTTTTTGTCCCAGAGCACTGCCCGACCCTTCTCACATTTCCTCTAGCAGTGTACACAATAGTACTTTCGTTTTCAGAAGAAGCAGAAAAGGGTGTCCCTAGGTGAGTAACAGCAGCTGTTTAAGGGGTATGTTCGGCAGTCTGCAAGCTTACGAGGTGGGAGAGGTAGTACAACACGGATTCGCTCAAGCAATCAAGGTCAAGTAATATTGCAAATCCTATTGGACTAGCAGCGACAGCAAGAGAAAAAAGGGAGAAAAGAAGAGGAAAAAAAGCTGCAGCGGAAACCCTAATGCCAGGAAAGCTGCTGCATTGCTGCGGTAAACATTGTCGCGAGGTGAGAACTGGCATCATAGTACCGCCTCCCTCCCCCCCCAATCTCGTTCTAGATACAGTACACCCGTGATCGCCTACTATCTAGGTATACTCGAACCGCCTTACCCTTTCAGGGTGGGGACTGCTAGTCCGTGCCTGCTCGTCTGCTAAGGAGAGCACATCAACCTGGCTCGGCTGATGCAGGAGGCTCGGAAGAATGCATCTGGCTTGAACACTGGCCACTCACACCGCAGCTCCGCAATGCGGTCCCTCTGTACCAGTGCTACCGCTTCCGTAATATCGACGCCAAACCGGCTTTATCTGGCGCCGCCGCGTCGCGCCGAACCTCTCCGCGAGGCGCTGCTGTTACCACTCCCCAAGAATCGCAATCATCACAGCGGATGGCGACTTGAGCATAAAAAGAAGCCATTTAGGCAACCTACTCTTCACCGTGAAGAGCCTACTCTTCTGGTGATTAGCTCTCCTCTTCGAGAGCCTCGCTTTTGAGCATTCTCAAAAGCCACCAGCTTTCCTCCCTCACCCAGACGCGTCGCGGTTCAGCCCAGTCAGGCAACAGCAAGCCCGCTTGCTGCTGAGGCCAACCGCTTCTCAATCATAGGCTGCTTCGCCGATTTTTTCTGCTCCCTAGGGAATCCTCCTCGTCACTACCATGATGGTTCCCTCCGTGATCCACGGCAATGGCCGGCGGCTCCACTCTGGCGATGGCGGTGCTTTCTTCAGAAGCAATCCGAGCCATGGCTTCAGGAGCATCAATGCTGCTGCTGCTGTCCTGCTGACCACGCTGCTGGTGGCGTCGAATCTGCCGCTAAGCGTGCTCGCCGGGAATAAACTGCTGCCCTGCACGTACTCCAAAATCAACGGATACACCTCCTCCGTGCGTCCGTTCAAGGGGTGAGTGTTTTTGGTGCTTGTAACGAATGCAGATTGTATCGAATCTGCCTCTGGTTGTGCTCGCCGGGAATCGACTGCGTCCCTGCACGTACTCCAAAATCAACTAATGCACGTCGTCTGTTCCTATAAAGGGGTGAGTGCTTGATTCGTGCTTGTAGCGAATGGTGATTGTAGCGAACTCGACGTCATCAAATAAGATGCTTCTCTGCCGGGAGGACACTCCAAGATCAAGGGGGAAGTCACCTTTGCTGCTCGAATCAGAGCTGGCTATCCTTGGCTCTGATCGGCTCCCATCGGCTCTCATTGGTTCGTATTGGCTCTCGTCGGCTCTCATTTGCTCTCAGTTGCTCTCATTGACTCTTATTGGCTCTCCCTAAACCCTCAGTGGCTCTCATTGGCTCGTATTGGCTCTCCTTGGTCCTCATTGGCTCTCATTGGTCCTTATTGCCTCTGTCACTGGCTCTTGTTGTCTTTCGTCGGCTCTGATTGATTGATCTACGAGGCGCTTTGCTCCTCTGTCCTGCATATCCTTCCCTCCCTTTCTTCCCCTTCCCCCTCCCCCGCCTCCCTCCTCCTGCGGGCAATAGGGCCCGCCAGCAAGGGCTGGTGCAGCATTGGCTTTTCCACCAACGGCGCTTCGATCAGCCTCACACTCACCTTCACTCACCCTCCCCCACCACCGCCCCCCCCCCCCCCCCCCCCCGGTGCCCCCACTTCCGCCCGCTTCCCCCCCACGCCCCTTGCCTTTCGCGCCAGGCTGCGGCTCAACTGGAAGGTGGTTGGTGAAAAAGTGAAATTCGATCTGCGGGCGACAGGGCCTGCCAGCAAGGGCTGGTTCAGCGTTGGCTTTTCCACCGACGGCGAGATGACAGGCGACGCCATCACAGTCACTTCTAGCACCGCCACGTCAGCAACAATCCACTCTCTCACGGGCGAGAGCGGCTCCAGCGTGGCGGAGAGCACTGATTGGACGCCGGCCAACATGGCGATTAAGAGGAAAGGCGGGAAGGCTTCTCTCAAGTGAGTTACGGCCCCTCTGCGACCCTCTGTGCGACCCTCTGTGCCTTAGTGTGAATCTCTGTGCCCTTATGCGAACCTCTGTCCCTCCTCTGTGCAACCCTCTGTACCTAGTATGAAGCTCTGTGCCCTTATGCGAACTTGTGACCCCGTGCGACCCTCTATGACCCCGTGCGACCCTCTATGACCCCGTGCGACCCTCTGTGCCCCCGTGCGACCCTCTGTGCCCCCGTGCGACCCTCTGTGTCCCCGTGCGACCCTCTGTGCCCCCGTGCGACCCTCTGTGCCCCCGTGCGACCCACTGTGCCCCCGTGCGACCCTCTGTGCCCCCGTGCGACCCTCTGTGCCCCCGTGCGACCCTCTGTGCCCCCGTGCGACCCTCTGTGCCCCCGTGCGACCCTCTGTGCCCCCGTGCGACCCTCTGTGCCCCCGCACCGTACTGGTCAATCCCAAGCTGACTTAGAAGTTGACGCCCTTTCCTGCTGTTTTCTCACTGCTCTTCTGGCAGGTTTGAGCGGTCTGCAGGCGATGGAAGCATTGTGACTTTCAACCCCAAGGGCAAGAACATTCTAATGTTTGCGTACAAGAGCACGAGTTTTGATACTAGCGAGGAGCATGATAAGGAGTAAGTTACGGTTCATTCTAGAGTCAGTCTCAAGAGCCTCCTTAAGAACATCCTCATGTTTGCATACAAGAGCACGGCTTTTGGCATGCAAGAGTAAGGTCACTCTCTCTGTGCTTCTGTTCCCTTCGCAAGTTGAACCCAAATCCCAGAATCTCCACTCCAACGCACAGCCCATCTCAACCCATTATTTCTCACTCACTTTCCACACTCGCGCTTTCTCCTCCCTCTCTTGCTCTCCGCTTCCGCAGCGCACACGTGACCGTCAACATGGCATGCAACCCCTGCAAGCGCCCCTTGGGTTTTCTCTTCTGCCGGGGCTGATTGACCGCTTCGGTGGTCCGCCGGGTCTGAGACGTCTTAAACTCAACTTTTATCACCTGGCCTGCAATCCCTGCAAGCGCCTCTTGGGTTTCCTCTTCTGCTGGGGCAGACTGACCGCTTCGGTGGTCCGTCTGGGTAGTACTATGTTTTGAGGCGAACTCAGAATAAACCATGGGTGTGGTGCGCATGTGGCCCTTAATCTGGCATGCAACCCCTGCAAGCGCCCCTTTGGTTTCCTCTTCTGTCGGGGTTGATCCCTGCGGCGGTCCATCTGCCTGCTGTTCCTTGTTTCTATAGTTCTCATTTCGTGGCATGGGTTCAAGTTTAGGGTTCCTTGCTTTCCCCCCATGATTTAGAGTTTTGGGGGTTATTTTGGCACACGGTGGGCTAGGTGGGCTGTGTTCTCTGGTTCCTTTGTTGAAAGGTCTTTTGCTAAACACAGGTCTGGAGTGGACTGTGGAACCTTAAACAGCATGCCCACATGGAATGACGGTTGAGATGAACACAACACACACAAGAGATGAAGTGAACGGTTGAGTTGAGACGCAAGAAAATACATGATGCATTTTGACACCTACCCATTTGCCTTGTCATGTACGTAAATGCAACATTGTACCGATAGTAGTACAGTTTGAAGAACGCATGACCACCTTGGACACTTGGGGCTGTAAGAGTGGATGAATGCAGTTAAGGGCTTGGAATCAATCACACAACTACTGTTGGAGTGTGAAGGGAATACACTTAAGCATTCCCGAAGGTGCAGCTACATCGCACCAGTCACTATCGAAGCAGCGCGAGCAGTAAAAGTCGGATCAGCCTATACCAAAGGCAGGAAGGTCAACAGGCGCAAAAGTCAACTGTCGCGACTGTTGACCATCTGGACCGACGATTGACTCACCATCGAGGAATGGCAACAGGCGTAACCGCACGCACGGTTACAAGCAGCGACTCGGTAACAAGAAAGGAAATGCAATAGTCAGAGTCACTGCAGTACTGCCTGTAAAACAGTTATAATAAGGGAATGTACCCCTTAGAGTACATGGCTAGTTAGGACTATTTATTTGCTTGTATTCTATCCTTTAAAACAACTTTGTCATTTACATTCACTATGATCAAGGTTCCTACCAAGACTTCCGCTACCAAACTCTCCTAGAGGCACTTCTTATCCTATTCTATCCAAGATCCTCACTCTAACATGGTATGAGAGCTAGTTTGGATTATAGGAACTGCCAAAAAGGGTCTCTTGACAAAGACAACCCCTTGCATAATTTACTATAAGGGCAAGCATCATGCCAGGCGCCGACTGCGGAGAAACTGGAGAGACCCCAGTACAACCTTCCACTAAAGTTACTTCTACTACAACGACTGTGGACACAGCGCTCCTCGAGCAGCTGATTTCCCGCATCAGCGCACTGGAGAGCCATCAGCCAATGAGCATCGACGGCTCCAGCTACGCCCGAAGACCTCCCGATCCTCAAGGAGCTGGATCAGAAAGATCCTTCACCTTCGACAATCGCGGAGCCCCGGGACCTGCTCAAACACAGCAAGCACATTTCGAGACAATGGCGTCAATGCAGAACAAGTTTCTGTCAACATCAAAGCTCAGGACAACAAAGCCCTTCAACGGGCAAGACTTCTACACCTGGAGCTTCGAATTCGAGCTGTTAGCTCAAGGCGCTCAAATATGGATGTACTACGACGGCTCGTATCCCTTCCCGACTAACGGCTCACCTCAGGAGAAGACGCAGTACTACAACGAATCTCTCCTGGCCTTCACCGTACTGATTCGAAACCTATCGCCAGAAGAACAGCTAAGCATTCGCCCTTTCAAAAACGAGTGGGCACCCGCGCAACAATCCTGGGAGCACCTGCGCACCTGCCACATGGCAACAGATTCGGTGACACTCAGTCGCCTGCTTAACCAGCTGAACAACGTCAGAATGTTCCCCGGCGAAAAGGCCGGATCCTACATCAACCGCTGCAGAAATCTGAGAGACCAATTCAGGAAAAGCGGCGGAAACTTCCCTGACGACATGTTCGTGACAATTATTCTCGCTGGATTAAGCTCGGAATGGCGCCAGTGTAAATCGCTCCTTCGCACTCAAGGAACTGTCAGCGAAACCGCCCTCTGCTCGACGCTCCTCTCTGAACAGAAGGAAATGGACCTTTTAACAAGAGAGGCAACAAGAAGGAGAAAATCGCTTTCTATGCACAAGCGCCACCAGACAAGAAAAGACTCTTCTGCAAGTACTGCAAGAAGACTGGACACACAATCCAAGACTGCTGGAAGTTGAACGGCAACAACAACAACCAAAAGGGAGCTGCCGCTTACCAGCAAGGAATAACTCCAGCGCGCAATCAGACCGTGTCACCACCAGCCGTCGCAAGCACATCCCAAGCTCCGACGCGCATCCCTGCGAACACAACCGATAAAGGCAAAAGCAAGGTGTTGACTTGCATGGTGCGTCGAGGTCCGCCTCGTCCCAACCGACACTACCGCTTCTTCCGCAGCTGGGAAGACATGTTCGTAGATCCACCGCAAGAGCGTCCTGAAGGATCGGTCGAAGACGAAGAAGAAAACGACCCAACATGCGACGAGCTGTCGGTCGGTCGGACGCATGGAGTACGACTGGGAAATGCCGCCTTGGATCCAGGAGTCGCCACCTGCACGCGAGGCATACGAAGACGAGGATTACACCTATAATTATGAACACGATCACGACATGGAGCATCACATCACGCCAAGACTCGCCAACCTCGCCAAAGCAAGAAAGGAGGTTAACACCTGGTACCTGGATAGCTGCTGCGGCCAGCACATGGTGTCGTCAGACATCTTCATTCTCAACAGCGAACGACTCTGCAACGAGGTGGAAATTACTGTTGCCAACAGTCAAACCATCTACGCCAGCAGTCGCGGACAAATTCAGCTGCAGTCACGCGACACCGGTTACTGCATTCACGTCAGCGACGTCCTCGTCGTGCCCGAGCTCCGGTACAACCTTCTGTCCCTCCACCAGCTGATGAAGTGCGGAGTCGGCCTGGAAACAACAGAAGACGAAATGCATTTAATGTACAAGGGGACCTTCATCGGAAAGGCGACAAGTGTGGAAGGAGTCTTCGTGCTCGACTTCGAGTCGCCAAGAACCTCTGGCGACAGCGAGCACATCCTCGTTCTCGATCCACCAGGCCACCCGTCACCACCCAGGTGGAGCCATCCGGAAGAGACGGACTACCAACGGCCAGGCCCCGACGGCACGTTCCGCGCCCTTGCCGTCCCTGTCGCCTCAACCACAAAACCTGAAAACACGGAAATGCCAGCGGCAGAAGAAGAAGAAGTCACGTCAGGCACGGCAATCGTAACGACTGAAGCAGCAGAGACAGAGACCGCACAGTCAACCTGGCCCTCTGTTCCACACCCTACCGGCTGGAACACAACTCAAGGCTGGGACACCGTCGACGTGCGTTGGGTCATGGAAAACACCGCTCTTGGAGAAGCCGTAGCCGAAACTGGATGGGGGAGCTTCGCCGAACAGCCTGCAGCAGAGGAAACCGAACCGGTGCAGTCACCAGAAATAACTGAGGAGGCGCCAGAAGCTGAAAAAGAGGAACTGCTGACGGAGTACGGACCCCACCTGCTTCCCATCACAACTGACGGTAGGGACTACCTCTGCCTGGAGACAAGGGGAGTGGTGATCGGAGACACCCCCTTCGAAGAAGGAGAAATCGCGCTGTTCGACGATCGATGCCCACGAACCACGCCTCCGCCTCCTGAAGGACCACTGAAACTGCCAGTCACGATCGACACCGTCACCATCGGTGAGACCAGCGGGACGTACCACGGCGCAACAATCCAAGCAGCAGCAGTCCACGTCATCGTATCCGACGAACCTGCGGACGAAACCAGCAAGGCAACAGCAGAAGAGATATTAGCACGGGAGAAGGAGCTGTACACCCGTACCAAGGGATATCGGGCCGACGGCGACATCTGGCATCAACGCATGGGTCACCCGTCAGTCGAGGTACTCAACAACTGCATCAACGCAAAAGTTTTTGCGGAAGACGCACTGCTGCTGCCAGACGGAAAACTGCTGAAGCCAAGAACCGATCTACCCAATTGCTCCGTCTGCCCGACAGCCGCGCTACGTCACACGCCCTTCGCTGAGAAAATCCCTGGAGCTGAACGTTACAAGCCGCTGGAGAAAGTTTACAGCGACTTCTTGGTTCTTACGGCAAAAGGGATCGGCGGGGAACAATACACGCTCACCTTCATCGATGCCAGCACACGCTTCGTCTGGGCCGTAAACGTGAGCGACCGTTACCTCGCCTACCAGTGCTTCGAGGTTTGGCTCAGCATGGCGGAAAACCAGAGCGACAACCACAAGGTCAAAGCCTTCCAGACTGACGGGGCCCTGGAATACATGTCGGAGGACTTCAAAACCCTCTGCAAACAGAAAGGCATCAAGAGGATGATCTCGCTCCCCTACGCTCACGAGCAGCAGGGATTGGCCGAGCGAACCAACAGGAGCCTCGCGACAAAGATGCGAGCTCTCATGAAGCAGTCAGCTGTGCCAACCAAATATTGGCTATATGCCATGGCGCATGCAGTTCGGCTGCACAATATACTCTCCTCCAAAGCCCTGCCCAACAACAGTTCACCCTTCAAGGAGTGGACTGGAAAACACCCCGACACACGCATGCTGCGGGTCTTCGGATGTATGGTACAGTACCGACCCCACACTGCCCGAACCGGAAAATTTGAAGACCGTGCCCGCTGGGGCATTCACCTCGGAATCGAATCCGAATACCACGCCTGGACAATTCTGGACTTCGCCACCCACCAGCTCACGCGTTCACGTGACTGCATCTTCTACGAAAGACTGACCCTACCTCTGTACCGGCAGCATCGCACTGCACAGAACGCACCAGACAACATTTTTCAGGGACAACACAGCTACGCAAATGACGCGGACGACGTCGACGTGGCAGGAGAACAACCGGACGAGGCCGCAACAGATAACACACCCTTTGTACCCGTTACGGAGCAACTCAAGACACCCACCTTCTTCCCGACGAACACTGATTCAGGTGAAGCAGTACAAGCCCAACATGACTACGCAAGTGCGGAAATGCACTCACCCATAAACGAAGACACGGCTCGCAACTCTTCTCGTGATACCATTCGCGACATTCCTGACGACGACGACGACGTAGTCGAAGTAACCAACACAGCCGAATCCAACCTTACTGGTCTTCGCATCCTCGGCCTCGCCGTCGCCGTGCGGGGTAACCAGCAACCGGTGGAGCCCACCACTGTTCGCCAAGCCCTCAGTGGGCCCGATGCCGAAAAATGGAGAGCCGCCATGGCCGCAGAAGTCGCTGCCCTTCAGCGACGAGGAACCTGGAAGCTGGTCCCACGACGACACGCGAAGGGGAGAAAAATTCTTACGGGGAAATGGGTATTCAGAATCAAAACTCTGGCGGACGGAACCATCGACAAATACAAGGCGCGGTGGGTCGTCCGCGGGTTCGAGCAAACACAGTTCGTCGACTACAACCAGACCTTCGCACCTGTCGGCCGTCACACGTCTGTGCGCATTCTTCTCTGCATCGCCGCCATCAAGCAGCGCCCTCTGCGCAAAATCGACGTCTCCAACGCCTTCCTTTACGCGATCGTCGACGCTATCATCTACGTCGAACAGCCGCACGCATTCGAGGAAGACGGCGACACCATCTGCCTTCTCCAGAAGTCACTCTACGGCATCAAGCAGGCGCCGCGCCTGTGGCAACAGTACCTTCACGCCATACTTATCGAGCTCGGCTTCCAACAGCTTCCCCATGACCAAGGGATGTACCGCCTCGAATCCCGCGGCCACTTCATCCTGCTCGTCGCCTACGTGGACGACCTTCTCTACACCGGGGACGACTCCGAGCTGCTCGATCGCTTCGAGCGCGAGATTCAGGAGAAGCTGGAGGTAACCATCGACCATGACGTCACCCAATTCCCCGGCCTCAACGTCACGCAAAGCGCCGATTCTATTCACCTCTCTGCTGCGAAGTACGCCGAAAGCCTCGCCAAGAAATTCGGCATCACTCCCATCGGCATCACCACCCCATTTCGCACTCCTCCTTCCAACCACAAGCCGGACACCACCCCGCTCTCCCCAGCAGACCACCGCCTCTACCAGCAGCAGCTCGGTTGCCTCCTGTTCGCCGCCGTCACATGCCGCCCGGATCTCTCCTACATTGCCAGCCAGCTCGCCCAGTACCTGCGCCGACCTGAAGGGGAGAACATGGCAGACCTACGTCGAGCCCTACAGTACTTCATCTCCACGCCCGACGTCGGCCTCACCTACAAGGCAAATCTAACGGCCAACCTGCAGCTTACTGGCTTCGTCGACGCAGATCACGCGGGGGACGCAGAAAACAGAAGGTCCCGCACAGGCTTCATTTTCAAGCTTGAGCCTGCAGGAACCATCTCCTGGAACTCGCAGAAGCAGGAGCTCATCGCCCTCTCGTCAGCAGAAGCAGAGTTCATCGCAGCAAGCGCAGCAGTTCGCGAAGGACTCTACCTCACGGAACTCCTACAGGAAACGAAAACGGCGATGAACGGGTCCTTCAAGTTACTCTGCGACAACCAGAGTGCGATCAAAATCGCACACAAGCCCGGCTTCGTCAACCGCACCAAGCACATCGCCCTGCGATACTTCTTCGTCAAGGACGAAATCGACAAGGGCAAGGTCCAGCTCACCTACTGCCCAACCGACAAGATGGCAGCAGATTTTCTGACTAAGAAGCTGCCACGTCAGAAGTTTCAGTACTGCTCAGACCTGTGCGGAGTCGTTCGCAAAAGGCCACATGGCACACCTCCAGGAATGAAGGGGAGTGTTGGAGTATGAAGGGAATACACTTAAGCATTCCCGAAGGTGCAGCTACATCGCACCAGTCACTATCGAAGCAGCGCGAGCAGTAAAAGTCGGATCAGCCTATACCAAAGGCAGGAAGGTCAACAGGCGCAAAAGTCAACTGTCGCGACTGTTGACCATCTGGACCGACGATTGACTCACCATCGAGGAATGGCAACAGGCGTAACCGTACGCACGGTTACAAGCAGCGACTCGGTAACAAGAAAGGAAATGCAATAGTCAGAGTCACTGCAGTACTGCCTGTAAAACAGTTATAATAAGGGAATGTACCCCTTAGAGTACATGGCTAGTTAGGACTATTTATTTGCTTGTATTCTATCCTTTAAAACAACTTTGTCATTTACATTCACTATGATCAAGGTTCCTACCAAGACTTCCGCTACCAAACTCTCCTAGAGGCACTTCTTATCCTATTCTATCCAAGATCCTCACTCTAACAACTACCCCATTGGGCAGGATTTTTCAGGAAACCAAATTTGTTGTGAGGAGTGACACAACATTGTGATTCTTGGGCGACAAACAACACAAGCGTGTAGCCCTTGAGATTCTTGGGAGTAGTGACCACCTTGGACACATGTGATTCTTGAGCGAGACCCAACAGCATTGTAAATTCGTAATCGATACCGTATCAATCTGGCACTAGATGTAAGAAAGCGCCCTAAGCATAAAACCATTATCTAATTTAACTGTACATGTACTGTACGCCAGAGGCTCCATATTTAGAAGCCATGAAGCACCTGCCACACCAAAAAACCCCAAGGAAAAATATATTACATGTCGATCACCAAAGGTGACATCTCAACATGGACACATTTAGTGGGTGGCAAGCCATGTCATCCAGTGCCATGCCATGAAATGCCACGCCATGACATGCCACGCCACGCCATGTCATCCCATGCCACGCCATGCGATCGACCATGCCACACCATGCCATGAGATCGGCCATGCCATGCCGTTAATTGTACCTTTCACGGGAGAGCTGCCCTTGCAACCCATCCCATGCCACCCATCCCACGCAACACATCCCATGCCACCCATCCCACGCAACACATCCCATGCCACCCATCTCACGCAACACATCCCATGCCACCCATCCCATGCCACCCATCCCACGCAACACATCCCATGCCACCCATCCCATGCCACCCATCCCACGCAACACATCCCATGCCACCCATCCCACGCCCCCCATCCCATGCCACCCATCCCATGCCACCCATCCCATGCCACCCATCACATGCCCCCCATCCCATGACCCCATCCCATGCCCCCCATCCCATGCCACCCATCCCATGCCACCCATCCCATGCCACCCATCTGATGCTATTCACAGTACTCACTCTGGAGAAAGACCCGTTGCACCACGCTTCAAACATCTCGTCTGGCTTTAAACAGCCCTCTGGACTGACAGCCCCATTGCTCCTGGATTCTGGGAGAGGGACGCAGCTCAGCGGGTCCACAGCAACAGCAGATGTAGGAGCAGCAGTGACAGCAGCAGCAGCAGCAGCAGCAGCAGCAGCAGCAGCAGCAGCAGCAGCAGCAGCAGCAGCAGCAGCAGCAGCAGCAGCAGCAGCAGCAGCAGCAGCAGCAGCAGCAGCAGCAGCAGCAGCAGCAGCAGCAGCAGCAGCAGCAGCAGCAGCAGCAGCAGCAGCAGCAGCAGCAGCAGAAGAAGAAGCAGCAGCAGCAGAAGGAGAACTAGCAAGCGGGTCGACGGAAGGAGGTGTTGCAGCAGTATATGAAGGCAGTGGTGGGAGCAGAGAGGGCGTAGACGTGCTAACAGTCGACGGCATTGCTGGTAGTCCAGTGGCAGCTGGAGTGGCAACTTGCATAAGGTTCGCATGGAAGCTTGAGAGGTTTGGGTGGGTTGATTGGGGTGAGAGCTTAAGGAAAGATTGGTCCTGAATAGCTGTAAGTGAACTGCCAGGGGAGGAAGGCAGATGAGTGGGGTGCGGTGCTGATCCTGACTGTAGCAGGGCCTTACTGATTCTGACCAGCTCAGCCTCGATAAGGAATGATGAAATAGCGTTGTCAGCCGCAGCGAGCCAATTAAAACCATCAATAGAGGCCACGCTGACTCCTCCAGCAGCGAACACAGCATCCTGATCTGGTACCCCGCCCGCTTCACCTTGAAAACTGCTGCACACGTTGGTTCTTCCACTGGTATATCTTTCCTGCTGAAGCACCTGCTGCTGCAGAAGCAGTTCACCCAACATGAACTCGTCAATTGGATTCGATTCCCCCACCTGCATGGGTGAGAGTACTGAGAGTGGTCTTCCAATCTCCTTGCTTTCTAGCGCAAGGCTTTCCGCATGCTGCTGTGATGCTGAAAGAGTGCTCATTTGCGACGTTACATGGAAAATGGGCTCAGACTGTTCACGAGCCTCAAAAGCCGATGCTGAAAGGCTTGCTCGCGATGCTGGATGGATTGCTTGCGATGCTGGATGGCTCATGGTTTCAGGGAAGCAGGCAAGCCATGAGCCATGTGATGGCTCAGGGAAACACGATGAGAGAGCTAGTGGCTTGGTCACAGCAGCTTCGTCTGATGTCTCTCTTGTCACATCACCTGCCGTAGCATCCACCGCTTCCGCCTCCTCCTCCACCTCCTCCTCCACATTTCCTCGGCTGGTTCCCAAAACTGTTGCTCCAGTTTGAGGAATCATTGCAGCAACGTCAAACAGCTCCTCATAAGCTCCTCTCGGTAGATTCGGATGGGCCTCGGAGCCATATTCAAACAGCTGCTCCGAAGCTCCCCTCCATAGATTCTGATGCGCCTCGTAACCGGATTCAAGCTGCTCCCCAGCTGCTCTCCTGCATGCATCTTCGCCCTCATCTACCACTGCTGGGCTCACAGCCGTCATCATTATCATTCTCTCCTCCTCCAAGTCCATTGCTGGAGCACACTGCTCACGACTTGTCGGCTTGCACACATTCTTGTCGTCGCCTACCAGTGCTGGGCTCGCAACCGTCATTATTACCATTCCCTCCGCCATCTCCGTTGCTGGAGCGCACTGCTCGCGGCTTGATGTTTGGTGCTGCTGGCAAGAATCCAAGTGCTGATGACGCTCGTCGCACTGTTGCTGACCAGAGGAGCACTGTTGCTGAGACGACGTTGGCTGCTGCTGACACGGTGTGGGCAGTTGCTGACACGGCAAGGGTTGCTGACACGACGAGTGATGTTGTTCAGAGGCTGACGAGGTACAGGTACTGAGAGTACCGCGATCTTCTCTTTCTTTCAATGTCCTCTGCATCTTCATCATATCCATCATCTCCATTTTCGACGCCATCGGCATCATCGCATCTGCAGCCATTTCTGTGGCTCCTGTGGCCTGATGCAACTTCAATGAACTTTCAGGCGCCTCAAAAACTGCCTCTGCAGCCACTTCTGAGACTCCTGTGAGCTGATGCAACTTCGATGAGTTTTCGGGCACCGTCATCTCTGCAGCCATTTCTGAGACTCCTATGGCCTGGTGCAACTTCGACGATGGTTTGGACACCTCAAAAATCGACTCTGCAACCATGTTGGGGACTCCTGCGAGTTGATGCAACTTCGAGAATTTCCTGCGCATATCAGATGAAACAACAGTACATGAGAGAAATGCAACATGTCAAAGGGCTGCTGCCGCACTTCCATAAGTGGCGTCCGCATGTTGCATTCTCAGCCAGGTTCAGACGGCGTCGTGCGAGCTGACATAGCTTCGACAGTCACCTGCATGTGTTGAATAAAACAGCACATGAGAGAAATGCAACATGTCAGAGGGCTGCTGGAACATGTCAGAGGGCTGCTGGAACATGTCAGAGGGCTGCTCCCGCACTTGAATATCTGTCATCGGCATCTTTCCATCCTCAGCCAGATTCAGACGGCCTCGTGTGAGCTGACGCAGCTTCTACATTCAACTACACGTGTTGAACGAAACAGTACGGGAAGAAGTGAAACATGCCCGATGATTGCTCGCCAGACTTTCATTTGAGTCCCATCGTTGCATTCTCAGCTCTCTGTGTGTGGGCTGCCAGGTACTACCATGGAAGAATGCGCAAGGCCCCACACATTCACACAATCGCTGCATGCACTGAGCTCTGTGTGTCTTCCATATCCTGGAAGTGTGCTGTGCGGTAAGACCCCACACATTCACACAGCCCAGACAGTCTCCTGCACACACGACAACAGAAAAAAACCTGGGCGTGTGAAAGTAAAGACGGAGACCCGATCATGCTGTGATGACCCTGCAAAGTTTGACAGTGACTGTGCTCTAAATGAGTCACGACAAAGCACAGGAACGTGTGTCAAGCGTAGTACCTGGTAAGAACGATGAAGCGGTTACAGCACGCCTTGTGGTCTCGTGTGGGAAGCAGACCCACGGACTTGAGAAGCCTCCACTTCTTGGTTCCATGCTTTGCCACGTGGGCCAGTAATATCCTGTCTTCCTGCACACACATCCGAGCCGACGTCATTTTAGACAACTTCCCGCCTTAATTCGAGAACAAAAGTACCACGTTAAAGAATCAGGCCGTAAATGGAAACAAAAGTACCACTTCAAAGAATCAGAGTGTTTGAAGAATGGGTATAACATCAGCGGTTACGAGCAGTGAAGTAGGGTTCAGTTGACGGTGCTACCTCCGGTTTCCAAAGTGCTCCAGTCGCGCGCTGCCGGCTCCTCCCTATAGAGTCAGTCACTGAGGCACCAACGATCGTGAATTGGGATCCCGAACTTAACCGGCGAGTCACGTTACCGGACCTCATCGTTTCTATTCTACTTTATAAATGAACAGCACAATCCAGTTTACCCACACGTGTCCTCGGTCGTGCAGGATTCGCAGGAACAAACACTTTTGCAATAAAGACGCACTACAGAAACGACTGGACGAACACGTTTGCGATATGAAAAAACGCTTTGAGATACTTCTAGAAGTAGGATGGGAACAGCAGGGGCGAAGGCGGTTCGGCTCTCGGGGATTGACGAAGCCTGGGGGCGGACTCTACTATTACTAGGAATGTATACGTGTACTTCTTGTGGCTCGCGGCGTTACCAAACGCTATGAATATAGTCGGCTGCGGCGCCATGACGGTGCAAAGGGAAAAAGTTCTCAAAAGACGGCTGCGTTCGTGTTCCCCGTGGCGTTTGCGCGAGGAGGTTTGGATCGGAGACAACTCGCTGATAACGAGTGACCTCGCGCGATTCTCGGGGGAAAGCCCAAGGGTGTGATGCACGCGACAGCACAGGTAAGACGAAAATCCCTGGGGATATGACGCGAGTGGCGGGGACTGCTCAACTGGCGGCAAAGTTGGTTCGGCAGCACTCGTCCCTAGCCACTGGCTTGGCATCCTTGATTCTGCCTCTCCCCTCCTGTTACTGTACTGGTCTGTGACAGCGCAGGTAATGGCTCTGCTCTGTCCACTTAGGGCGTGTAACCATTTCACCCCCGACGGTTCGAACTGAGGACCGTCCGGGTCAGCGAAGGGAAACCAGTTTCACAGAATGTCGTTATTATGTTCTTGAATGCTTGTACGACGGCGCCAACAATTCGAGCCGTCGCGACACTTCTTCCTCTTTTCGACGGTTCGAAATGCGAACCGTGGACATCCGAAACCAAAACGGACGGTCCAACAATCCTGACCAGAGATTGGCAAGCGAAATCAAATGTACAGTACCTCGAATGATTGGGAAACGAAAACGAAAAAAGGTTACGACGATACATAGCCCTTAACGAAGCTACAAAAATCGCAAAAATGTACAACACTAAAAAATGTCACATTTCCATCCGGACGGGCCAGAGTTGCGAGACGTCAATCGGACGGTTCTGTTCTCGATATTAGGACCGTCCGTTTCCAAAATATTCGCACAGTCCGTACAAACGCAAAAAAAAAAATCAAAATGGTTACACGCCCTTGCCTAGCCTCCTTTCCCAACCTCATTTCCCAACCAGCCTTCACCCCTTCAGTTTCCTCTGCTTGACTCTCCCTCCTTCCTCGGTTTCCGTGCCAAAGAGCCGTTGACGAGTATGGGTGGCGAGTATGTGTAGCTGAACCTCGAGGAAATTCTGTGTACAGTGCCGCACTGTACAACGCAGAATCAGATTCGGCACAACGCAGCTGCCCCGGGCAGTTCAATTCACAACTACTCGCTAACAGTGAGAATGAAGGCGCGAGAGCAAAGAACAACCTTCGAGAAGTCTACGAAAAAAGCTTCTTCAGCAATGCGGGTTTCGTTTCGACGGGAAGTTTTCAAGCATACGGCTAGGCAAGTGGAGCGGACTATCAACTAGACGACGTCATGCTGCCGTGTATTTCGAAATTATGCTGACGACGGAGTGGTGGGGGTTTCAAGAGCGTACGCCACGCAACAAGACCTAACCTCTGGCGGGAGAAGAGGTGACTGGTTTCTGTTCCATGCATTGCTGGCACGGTTCCACCGCCTTTGCCCTTTTCCATAAAACCGTTCGCTTGTCTTATCGCACAAGAAGGGACGGCAAACTTCAACACCTTGCTGACACCATCCAGCTCGAACATCTGTAACATGATGACAATGCTCGACAGGGGGATGCAACAGACAAATGGCGAGCGAGCCACGCAAGCCTGAACCAGAAAGCCTTGCAGTGCAGTGCTTCAGGAAGCGATTAAAGTGCAAATATCGCCAGATCGTTAGCGAAAATCGACCCGACAATCGATTGGTCGGGTCGTTTGGCGAAACGATGCTCCTACCTGGTTCTATCGATCGCACCTGAGTTTAGCCGTGGATGTTCCACCACCGAGATTGTGGACCTGCCTGCGACGCGGGCACTGTAAAACCAGGGGTCGCACAAGCACACCTGCGACGGGCGAATCAAATTTCTGGTTGGGCTCCGAATTTCTGGTTTGCTTTCAGGCTGGACAACTCAAATTTCCGACTGTGCGAAAAATCAGCGCCTAGCAGGCATCCAAATCAATCGGGCCTGGTGCGCTCGGTTCATGGACATCAGACGCGTATCACAAACCAGGGGCAATCGGTGATCAGTCGCAATCTCTCGCTGCGCAGCTTTTTTCGCCAAAACACCGTACTGTAGCAAGGTTACAGGACAGTAAAAAGGGTAAAGGGTAACCAATCCGCACCGACGATCGATCGTCTACCTTTGCCGCGTCCTGCATTGGGAAATCTGGAAGATAACGAAAACGGACACAGCAACCACACAAGACAGGTTTTTTGGCTGAGTCCATAGACTCGGTCTGCTTCGTCAAGGTTGTCCTCACATGAAGGTCATCTTTGGCGTGGAACAAAGTGTAGATGTACAAACAGTGGCTGATATATCTGCGCTTGGAAGAGGACTACAGGCATCACATAAGAGTTCAAAATCGTCACCCGCGCTGATGCTGTCAGGTGCAGTTTTTCCCAGTTGCTGATAATGGTGTTAATTCACACCAGAGTTTTATCCCACGTGGGTTTCGTTTCGCCGTCCAACGTAATCCATATGCCTAGTAATCTCTCCGGTTTTCCCCTTTCCGCCCAGCTGAAGAGTGTATCGGCGGGCGGGGGAGCCATTCTGTTCTTCCCCAGCGGTATCTCCGTGGACTTTGCTTGAGTGACGAGCATCCCCGATCTGGCACCAAAGTCAGTTAGTAATTCCTGCGCCCGTCCAAGCCGTTCCTTGCCCTGGAGTAGTAGCGTCGTATCATCTGCATACCCAAGGTAAGCCAACTCTCCTTCCCTCTTTTCCTCAGCCCCATTTTCCTCCGCTTCGCTTCTTGGCTTAGTGGTTCCGCTGCGCAGATAAAAAAGGTACGACGCCAGTTGACATCCTTGCCTTACTCCCGACTCCAACTCCACTTTCTCTCCCTGCCACCCATTGACCAGCAGCTGTGTCGCTGCTTGATCATGCAGCCCTTGGGACCACTTGATGAAAGCCTCCGGGACAGCTTAGCTTCAGTGGAGTACCGTCAACACAATCGTGCGAAACCGCGCGTTTCCAAACAAAATTAGCGTCTTCCTCATGGATGAAGGTAACTTGTAACCGACCATACCCCTCCTTCGACAAATAAGTTGGTAAGAGCTTCTGAAATTTCGTTGTCCTGAGCACATCTGCCGACAGCTCCTTCGTCCAGAAAGCCAGGTGAGCATTGACCGAATATGCTTATCTGGAACCTCCGTAATATGCTTATCTGGAATCAAGAGGGTTCGCGTATAACATATCTGAGCAGCAACAAGTCCAGCCATAACAGGGTCAGCTCCCTCGTCAGAGTCGTCACTGAGATAACCTGACTCCTCAGCTCCCATTTCCTCCCTGTCTTCATCATGGAAGTCCATATCAGGTTCTCTTGGAGGCGACAGCGGCGCCGGGAACTCCTCATCATGCGTCTTGTCCTCTTTGTTGTCAGCAATTCCCTTTCTCTTCTCCTTCCAGCGTGGACATCCTTGCAGCCACCATTGTTGAAGACTCCGGTTGATCCACCTGGACTGAGGCTGTCTGCAGCTCTTTGATGGCATCCTTAGCGTTCGGCATGCCTTCCGAGTTCGATGGAGGGACTGGTGCTTGTAATCAGCTCACAAACTCCAGACTTGGTGTTAACTTTCAGAGTCCTCCCTTTAGGAGGCATGATGACCGAGAATGGGAGCTTGTAGCAGCAGCGACTAGGTTGCTTGTTAATGAAAGCAGAACAATTGTGACGCTTCTTAAAAGTTGGTAGGCATCCCGCGGTTGGGTCCAGGAGCTTGTTTCCTTTGTCAACCAATAGATGGCACAAAACATGAAACTTCCTAGGCGTTTTGCCTTGGGAAGGCCATTGCTATTCACTAATTGAGAAGCCTTGGGAACTTAATGCCTTGGGGTTCACTGGAGATTGATAAACTTGAAAGATGTTCGCTGTATGAACACAATCGGTTAGGTCGTTGATTAATCTCGATGCGAGGAATCCGAAAAGCTTAGTTAAAGCTCCATCAGGCATGGTTGTAGTGGACATTGGGGCTTCCGAAGCACGCGAGGTAGAATCCATGGCGGAGAGAATCGTTGAGAACTTTTATCAAAATTGCAGAATAAGAATCGGGTTGAAATTGGTGGGAACAAAAAAATTCCCTTCAATTGCAACACTTTGACGGAAATTTTATCGGTTCAAGTTTATTTATGTTTTTTTCACTTTTATTTATTTATTTATCGGTTTTTCTTGGTTTTGTTTATTGGAATGTTCCTCCTTGGACCGAACCGTACTCGCCCTAGGACCACAGGTGGTGACAAGCATGTTGAAATTGGGGGGGATTGAAGTTGGCACGGGTTAGGTGTACCACAACAAAGTGTGTAACGCTCAACCGTTTCTTTGCCCTATATAACCTAATGGTGTTCAACACTTCATGCATCACTTTTATCAAACCATGCACTACTGGACTTGACCAAGTCTGCCTATGCCTTGGGACTAGCCGGAAACTCTCTGCGAGCTTCGAATAGGTAGCTCGCACGCTCCGCGTTATTGTTTGATTGTTGTCAATCATGCCCTTATATTGGTTTCGGGGCACGATGGAATTCAGAGTCGTCAAACAATTTTGGGCTGGAAATCTACCAAAATAAGCCCAAAACCCCAAATATGCATTAAAAATTTACTGGTAGAGCTGGAAAATCAACACTAGGTCAGAAAAAACCTCTAAAAAAAGGCTGAACCGATGTAAAAAAGTTTTCTCGGAGAGGCTGTTGTCAATGTTCGCTCATGCCTTTGCCCACGTTTGTACTAGTTTCACTCTTTTATGTAATCCTCGTTTGCTCTTTCAATTGTGTTGTGAATAG